TATTTTATTTTATTTTATTTTATTTTATTTTATTTTATTTTATTTTATTTTATTTTATTTTATTTTATTTTATTTTATTTTATTTTATTTTATTTTATTTTATTTTATTCTATTTTCCTTTTAGAAAATTTATTTCTAAAAGACAAACAGAATACCGCTAGGATCCTCTCTTAGACGGATCCTTTCAATCAGTCTTTTTAAAGTGAGAAAAGGCTTCAAGAAAGTTGTTCAGAAGTGACAATTTTCTACTGAAAGATAATTGGCTTTAAGCACCAGTTCTGCGTCCATTCGCGCTGCTTTCACATGAAACACTTGTTGTTGTTTGTTGAATACTCATGAGTCATGACCCGAAAGCGAGCCCTCTTCGTGGACAGCACTGTTCATTCGAGGTAGGCCAATACCGCTTTTGTATTTTAATAAAAACCTGTCGCTTTAGATTATACTCGTTCGTTACTTATTCTCATGAAACTCACTTAGGGAATCGCTTATATCATACAATGTATTTAGTTGAATTCGATTTCTCCAACAACACACACACGCAAGACGAAATTACTCTGCTCAGAAGCTGCCTTATATCTGTGTTTACATTATTTTTGTTTTGTTCTTTTGCTTTCTTTTATTTTGTGTTTTTGCTGAGTCATATCTGCAATTATTAGTTAGTAGTTGAATTTGAAAATGTTATCAGTTCATAGTGTACGCAACGTTAGCATAGCTTGGAAATGGATCAGTGTCCGAGAACAAATACAAAAGCAACAAAAGCTAACACGAATGCAATTTGCATTTCAATCGACAGCAGTCAATGCCAAGGTAAAGCAATTATGTTTTCCTAATGTACTATATATTAAAAGAGTTGGTTTATACCCGAGAAGATTTTGGATTTTGCATATACATACTTTAAAAAATTGTATTATACTTAATTTTTTTTAGGACCAAAATGTATATAGTAAATCATTTGTGAATTCTTTGAATAACGAATGGCAAAAAGCGCTACCGTCTAAAGCCATACCCGGCCTCAGCAGATACGAATTGGTGCGCGGCTTCATGAAGGGCGGTGAGTTCAAAGTTTTCCATTACATTCTACAATTGCTGTGGGTGAACAAATTAATATGCATATACTAAATATGTATGTACATTAGATCGCGTAAAAAAAAATAAATAAAAGTCCAACAATGCGACCGGAATAAGACTTCAATTTTAGCATTTGGTATAGCAATGATCCTGCATGAATCTCACTTCTCTAGGGCAATTTTAAGAAGTCCCGCGTCTAGCATTTGGTTTTTCCATAGGAATTATACGTAAGAAAATGAGTTCTTTTTCCTTTTGAGGTAAATATAATTTTCTGGGAGCGTTTTCATTTATCCTAGAAGATTATATTGACCTCAAAAGGAAAGAACTCATTATCTTGCGTGTAATTCCTATGGGAAAACTTAATGCTGGACGCGGCACCTCTTACAATTGTCCTAAAGAGGGAAGATCACAAATGCTAAAATTTTAGTCTTATTCCAGTCGCATGCAGCATTTTTTTTTTTTTTTTTTGTTTTTTTGTTGCGGTCTAATGTACATATATGCATTTCTCTATTTTCGTCAATAGGCCAGTTCGCTGATTTTTCTTTGAATGATTTGCTTTTGAAGGGTCGCGAACGTTTCGGTAACATTTATCGTATGCCCGGCGTTTTTGGGCAACCACCTTCACTTGTACTCTTTAATTTCGAGGATTTTGAGAAAGTGTTTCGCACTGAGGGCTCTTGGCCGGTGCGACCAGGCGGCGAAGTAATAACACATTATCGACAAATGCGAAAAGATGGATTTTTCAACGAGAGGATTGGCTTGGCAGGGCAGTAAGTGGGAAAAATATAAGAAAGTTATATACTAACTTATTCGCTAATATGTTGTACCTTTTTTCATGAATAGTGGCGAAGATTGGGGTAAATTTCGACATACTGTAAATCCTATTTTAATGCAACCGAAAAATGCTAGACTCTACTTGGGACCCATGCAAAAGGTGAATCTGGAATTCATACAAAGGTAATTCAAACAAATTGTCAGCATCACAAGCAGTCTTAGGCCTTATAGTGCTAGTCCTTTAGGGATACAGAAAGTGACGACGGCTCAAGCTGCCCCCGAACTTGCTAGTTGGTGAAAAAATCTAATAATTGTTTTGACATAACCAGGTAGCAAAAATTGTACACCAGAGTCTAGCGATACAACATAAGCTAGTAACGGAAGAGCTGCCGTACTTTAAATATACTCCAGACGCTGTAATTGAAAACAGAACGAGCAAGCTATATTGGGACCGATCAGTTTTGACGGACCGTCCAATGCCACACAACAGGCCGGACATAATAGTGGTCGAAAAAGAAGTGAATCAAGCGTTCCTCATAGATATAGGCGTACCAAATACTCACAATCTTCAAGATTGTTATATGGAGAAATACAGAAAATACCAGAGCTTAGCATACGAGATAAAGGATTTGTGGAAATTAGAAAAAGTAGAGGTGATTCCAGTTATAATTTCGACAACAGGAGTTATTCCAAAATCATTGAACACTAGCCTGGAAAAACTCAACATGGTAGAAAAGCGAAGGGCCATACAAAAATCTGTGATATTATCTACATCATCGATAGTTCGTAAATTTCTGAATATAAATTAGCATTAAGAAACAGAAAAACTTGCAACTGTGTAGTATTGTTAATGTCCGTTTGTAACCAATCTGTAGATTATATTTCTCTTATACTACTTTATAATCAATAGTGTTAAGTATTTTGTTGTATACCAACCAATACTTGATGTGAACCCGTAACGGAGAAACAATAAAAAATAAAATAAAATATAATAAAAAAAATAAAGTAAAATAAAATAAAATAAAATAAAATAAAATAAAATAAAATAAAATAAAATAAAATAAAATAAAATAAAATAAAATAAAATAAAATAAAATAAAATAAAAAAAACTATATATTTTTATCTTGAAAACAATAAAATCTAAGAACTAAAAGAACTTTAAATTAAAAAAGGAGAGAAATTAATTAAATTAAAAAAAGGGGAAAAATAAGTTTATGAATTAAATGTAATTAAAAAGAATAAATTTCTTTTGTTAAACAATAAAATCCAAAAATTTAAGGAAAATTTAATTTAGAAAGAAAAAAATAGTATTAAAAAATTAAAAAAATCTAAAAAATAAATAAAATATGTTTTTTTTATAAAGTTTTAAAATAGAAAGAAAATTAAATTAAAAAATATAACTTAAATCAAGTAAAATATATTAAGTTCCGTAAAACTAAATGAAATTTAAATTTTATATTTTTAATTATAAACAAAATGTAAAAAATAAAAGATAATTAATTTAAAAAAGGTAAAAAATAGAAAAATAACGCCGGTTTCTAAGATTTAAATGAAACAAAAAAATATTTTTCTTTTTATAACAATAAAATCTAAACATTAAAAAAAAAATAAAAATAAAAAAGAAAAACATTAACTAAAAAAAATACATAAAATAAGTTTCTACAAATTTTGCAGATCATAAAGTAAGTTTCATAGTTTTGCAGACCTTTGGATTTTCAGGAACTCTAGAAACATTAAAAGCTACTCCGAACGCTTTTTACCACATTTAGTCATATGTCGTATGGTGCGTGAATCTGGCATACAAAGTTTTAGAAACATCTTTTGTTTTATTTTTCAAAATATCCAGCACTTTTTTCCAAAGCTACTCAGAACAGGTGTTTTCTATTTCTGCATCATTCCGTATGCCAACCTCACAGACATGACAATAATCGATCGCCATTTATTCACTGCTGCCTACGATTGCTTTGTTTTTAGTTGAAGTATTGTTTACTACTTAATTAGTAATTTTTATTGAAACTGCTTTCGTTTGGTTAAGTACGTTAAATTTGTTGCGCACCCCTGGCCTAATGTACATACATACATACATACATCGTATCAGTGCCTATGAACCAATGAGAAG